GGACGATGCTCTACATTCCCCCCCCCCCAATAGCTAGCAATCCAAAACAGTCCAGGGGAGCCTGAGCGATGGGTGTTGCCTTCTGACACACTTCCGATGATGTCAGGGGGTGTGGCCTATGCAAAAAAGTCATGTTAATGAGTTATGCTAATGAGCCCCTGCACCTCTTTTTCTACGAAATGACCCCTGCGTCACAGTATTGCTTGACCCCAACACAGGAATCAAACACCACCACCCCTTCCGTCATGCAAACAGATTGTTCCCAGAGCTTCCTCTCAAGGTGTTCCCTGTCGTCACTCCTGCCACATGAACACAGGAAGAGGTCTTCTACCGAATCGGACTGCTGGCCCATCAAAGTCAGTCTTGTCTACTTGAACTTGGCAGCAGCTCTCCAAGGTGTTAAGCAGAAATCCGTCACATCAGCTACTACCAAGACCAGAACTGGCCCGTCCAGGGCTCTTATGCGGCCCACAAATAACTAGTGCGGGGGGGGGGGAACAGGAGACTGCTCGGGAGGGAGTGGGCGGAGCCACTCCAATTGTGGCTTCAGCATGGCAGGACCACCTCGTCTTCAGCAGTCCCTCATAACAAATTGACACCTCTGACCTAGTCCTTTCAATTGGAGATGCCAGGGATTGAGCCTGGGACCTTCTGCATGCCAAGCAGATATACCACTGAGCCACGGCTCCTCTCCAGAACTGTCTTATACTGAATCAGACCATTGGTTCATCAAGGTCATTGCCATCTACTCAAACTGGGAGCAGCTCTCCAGAGTCTCAGGCAGCGGTCTTTCACTTCACCTACTGCCTGGTCCTTCAACTGGAGATGCCGGGGATCGAACCTGGGGCCTTCTGCATGCCAAGTAGACACTCTACCACTGAGCCACAGCCCCACTTCATGGCTCTCCAGAGTCTCAGGCAGCGGTCTTTCACTTCACCTACTGCCTGGTCCTTTAACTGGAGATGCCGGGGATCGAACCTGGGGCCTTCTGCATGCCAAGTAGACACTCTACCACTGAGCCACAGCCCCACTTCATCGCTCTCCAGAGTCTCAGGCAGCGGTCTTTCACTTCACCTACTGCCTGGTCCTTCAACTGGAGATGCCAGGGATCGAACCTGGGGCCTTCTGCATGCCAAGTAGACACTCTACCACTGAGCCACAGCCCCACTTCATGGCTCTCCAGAGTCTCAGGCAGCGGTCTTTCACTTCACCTACTGCCTGGTCCTTTAACTGGAGATGCCGGGGATCGAACCTGGGGCCTTCTGCATGCCAAGTAGACACTCTACCACTGAGCCACAGCCCCACTTCATGGCTCTCCAGAGTCTCAGGCAGCGGTCTTTCACTTCACCTACTGCCTGGTCCTTTAACTGGAGATGCCAGGGATCGAACCCGGGGCCTTCCGCATGCTAAACAGATGCTCTCTCCCACTGAGCCACAGCCCTGTTCATTTTCCAGTCCTAACTTACCTGCACGTATGTCTCCCGTTGTCTTTGGTCACTCAGCAGTCCCAGGACCAGATCCCGGAAGTTCTCCCGGGCCACCCGCACTAATTTCAAATCATGAGCGGTCTGTTGGGAAGGGAAGAAGCAGATTGGTAAGCAATGCTCCCTCTAAGGCTGTGGAGTCTTGTGAGCAAAAATTCTACTTTGTGAGCTCCTGGCATTAAAGCTGTGAGCAAGCGATTTGGCTACTGGATAAATCAGTTTGCTCCAGAGCCGTCCTTCCTGAGTGAAGACAGAAATGTGTGAGCCGGAGGCTAAAAAAACAGCAAGCTATCTCACACTAACACAGCTTAAAGGGAACACGGGTGGTAAGTCGGGGGCAGCTCACAAGAGCAAGCAGGGATTCCGCCTGCATTCTCAAGACTGCAAGTACTCACGGCTTTGGGGTGGGGGGGTGGCTCTCGCTCCGGAAAGTATGTATCGATAGCATCGTAGATCTTGCCGTCTGACTCTGCCTCCCTCAGCATGTTCATTATCACCTGAGAAAAGGAGGAGCCGGAAAGAAGTGAAGCCGGGCTGGGAAGCAAAGCACTGTGGGAGAATCACTCCAGAATTCCCTCACTCCCCCGGAGTGAAAGTGGCACAGCCGGACGGGCCGCCTCCTGCCTCACCTTGGCCTGGAGGCCGAGACGCAACTTGGCCAGGTGCCGGTAGTGAACCAGCTCGGGGGCCGCATCCTCCACGGCCTCCAACAGTCTCAACACGCGGGAGAAGTCCTGGATCCGGTGCTCCCGGACCGTGTGCCAGGCGGCGGCGGCCACCAGCCGCAGGGCTGAGCAGGGGTCGAGGGCCGCTTCCTCCTCCACGGCCGCCCCGTTGGCGGCCATCACCTGAAGGGAGACAAAGAGTGGTGGTTAGGGCCGGCAAGCACAGCTGTTTTCTGCTCTCCCTCATTCAACACATCGTTTCCCTCGTGCTCCCAAGCCTCGGCCCACCAAGCCCCACCTTCCCAACCAGGCCCCGCCCCTTCGACTCCATCTAGCCTTAGCCTTCACCAAGGCTCCCTCTAAGCTGTGGAGTCTTGTGAACAAAAGTTCTACTCTGTGAGCTACTACTGGCATTAAAGTTGTGATTGAGTGATTTGGCTGCTGCGTAACTTAGCTTGCTCTGGAGCCATCCCTTCCTGAGCCACGACAAAAATGTGTGAGCTGGAGGCTAAAAAACGGTGATCTAGCCCACACTAACTCAGCTTAGAGGGAACACTGGTCTTCACCCCTTTCCCCAGCAGAGCTACCCTCCTCCTGCACGTTGTATGAGCCCCTCTCCATGGTTTATGCATGAACTTTATGGTGCATCAGAACTTGCGAGTTTGTTTTTCATATGCTAAATATATTTTGACTACATTTGCCTATTGCTTATTATAGCAATTATTCTATTTAAAATATAAAAAATATCTATTATACTAATTCTTTATATATATATTTTGACTACATTTGCATATTGCTTATTATTACAATTATTCTATTTAAAATATAAAAGATATCTATTACACTAGTTCTTTATAGTCTATCAAAATCATTTTACTGGCCTCCTTTGGATTTTTGTACACGGTGTTTTCTTCGTTTTGGGTCACCTCCAGGTGGGGACGGGAGATCTCCCGGAATTGCAAATGATCTCCAGCCTTACGGAGTTCAGGTCCCCCAGAGAAAGGGGCTGCCCTGAAGGGTGGAGTCTACGGCTTGAGACACCTTCCTGTGGTCCTCCCGCCCTCCCCAGATTCCACCCCCTCCCAAACCTCCAGGAAATTATTTACCTGGAGGTGGCAACCGTACCCGTTGCTACCGGCAACCGTTCCTGGAGAACACACGCTCGCTCTAGTTTTGCGACGTCACTTCCGGAGCGGACGCTCGCCCTCGCCTCCTCTTCGTCGCTTCCCTCTCGGGCTTTAAGGACGGGAGGGGAACGGCGCTTCGGCTTTCACCGGGCCGAGACTAGACCCGGCGCCTCAGGCAGTTTATTTTATTTACGACCGAGCTTCCGGGGAGTTGCTATGGGGATGCGCGTGACGTCATCGCGCGCTCCGGCACTTCCGTCCACAGCGTTCCGTCTTAAAGAAGAGGGGCAGCGGCCTCTGATGGCCAATGTGGGAACTGCACCCAGCAGGGGCGCCGCGCGGGAGACGGAACCCCCGCAGGCTTCTTGGGGAATGTCATTGAGGGAGCGTTTGAGAGCATGCGCGGAATACTGGAAGCGTGTGAACAAGAGAACGCGGCTGCTGCTGCTTTTAAGGGAAAACCTAAATAGGGAGGTAGCTCAGCTGCCTCCGGACCACGTGTTGATTTCATAAGGACATAAGAGAAGCCAATGTTGGATCAGACCAATGGTGGCCCATCCAGTCCAACACTCTGGGTCAAAAATCCCAGGTGCCATCAGGAGGTCCACCAGTGGGGCCAGGACACTAGAAGCCCCTCCCATTGTTGCTCCCCCCCCCCCAAGCACCAAGGATACAGAGCATCCCTTGCTCCAGACCGAGAGTTCCTATCTATACCTTGTGGCTAAGAGCCACTGATGGACCTCTGCTCCATATGCTTATCCAATTCCCTCTTATAAGAACATCAGAGAAGCCAGTGTTGGATCAGGCCAGTGGCCCATCCAGTCCAACACTCTATGTCACACAGTGCCCCAAAATAGCAGGTGCCATGAGGAGGTCCAGCAGTGGGGCCAGGACACTAGAACATAAGAGCATAAGAGAAGCCCATGTTGGATCAGGCCAGTGGCCCATCCAGTCCAACACTCTGTGTCACACAGTGGCCAGAAATACCAGGTGCCGTCAGGAGGTCCACCAGTGGGGCCAAGACTCCAGAAGCCCTCCCACTGTTGCCCCCCCCCCCAGCACCAAGAAGACAGAGCATCCCTTGCCACAGACCGAGAATTCCTTTCAATACCTTGTGGCTAATAGCCACTGACGGACCTCTGCTCCAGATGTTTATCCAGTTCCCTCTTGAAGCCGTCCATGTTTGTAGCCGTCGCCACTTACTGTGGCAGTGAATTCCATGTTTCAAAGAAGCTTGTGACCCTCATAGCGAGGGCTGCCCGCCCTGGGTTGGGAAATTCCTGGAGAGTAGGGGGTGGAGGACAGGGTTTGGGGATGGACCTCATCAGGTTATAATGCCATAAGAGTCCACCCTCCAAAGCAGCCATTTCCTCCAGGGGAACTGATCGCTGTATTCTGGAGGTCAGTTGTAATTTTGGGAGGCCTCCAGGCCCCACCTGGTGGTTAAGTCGAGGACGAGAGATCACGGGACAGGCTGAACTTAGTGAGGAAAAACAACCGTGATACGATAACGAAACCTTGTTACGAGAAGAATATATCTTCTTTAATTATCCAGTGAATAACAAATCGTTAAAGGTGTTTTCTTTGAAGTAAATTGGTCTCTTCCTTTCTAACTTACATCATTTGGTTATGTGAAAAGCAGCTACCTGCTGCCCTCTAAAAGGAAGAGGGAGTAGAAAAAAATGCAAAAGGTGTAAAGGTCTCATCTGATGAAAACCTTGAGTGAAAAGGTCTATTGAGCGCTGTAGGTCAGAAAGAAAAACGTGAGACCAATTTACTTCAAAGAAAACTCCTTTAACGATTTGTTATTCACTGGATAATTAAAGATGATATATTTTTCTCTAACAAGGTTTCGTTATCGCATCACAGTTGTTTTTTCCTTACAAATTAAGTCCCACCTGGAGGTTGGCAACCGTCTTTATGGGACATTGACTGTTTTAGTTTGTGCTCTCTCCTTTTTCCTGTGTGACACGGTGTATAATTATAGAATGCAGAGCCAAGAAGATGCCTGTGATTTTCCAAGGTGAAATTAAGGATGAAAAGCACTACAGTGTTAAGATGAGCAAATGTTTGTGAAACCACAGCCTTGCACCAAGTGACATAAGAGGAAAAGCACCAGGCCGTTGGGGGAGAGACCCCACCGCCACAATTAACTTGCACTGCCTCATGGGAAATGTAGTGTCTCATAATAGTTAACCGAGCACTAGATGACAGTTCAAGTCCAGCGGCACCTTTAAGACCAACAAAGTTTAATTCTGCGTATAAGATTTCATATGCACGCACTCTTCTTCAGATGCCTGTGTGCGTGCGCACAAAAATCTTATACCCAGAGAGACCCCACCACCACACTGTCACAATTAACTTGCACTGCCTCATGGGAAATGTAGTGTCTCATAATAGTTAACAGAGCACTAGATGATAGTTCCAAGTCCAGCAGCACCTTTAAAGACCAACAAAGTTTAATTCTGGGTATAAGCTTTTCGTGTGCACGCACATTTCTTCAGATACCTGTGTGCATGCACTCAAAAAGCTTATACCCAGAATTAAACTTTGTTGGTCTTTCAGGCACGCACATTATAACTCTGATGCGAGTTATAAGGACATCACGTAGCAAGCATACAGTTCTTCCACCCTAATTTTTGGGCCTCTCACAAACTCCGTGTTTCTCCCTTATCTTCCTACCATGCAAACAGTGCGGTGGCCACAGAACAATGGCTTTAGTTTTCATCATGTTTCTATGCATGGGCTCAATCTATTCTTGCATGTCTCTAGCCTAGTTTGCATGTTAGCAAGTCAGCAGATCAGCTTTTTATTTGTTGAAACACACAGATCATTTTGTTCTCTTGTGCTCAATACCTTTCCCCCCTCCAAGAATGCCCGTCTCTTGTTTTAGAAAACTGTATTGGAGTTCACAGGGCTGCGGTGGCTCAGCGGTTAAGACGCTGAGCTGCAAACCGGAAGGTCTGTACTTCAGCAGTTCCAGACCCGAGTGCCACGTGACGGAGTGAGCTCCTGTCTCTGGCCCCGGCTCCTGCCAACCTAGCAGTTCGAAAGCAAGAAATTGCAAGTATATAAATAGGTACTGCTTGGGTGGGAAGGTAACAATGTTCTGTGCGCCTCGGTGTTTAGTCATGCTGGCCACATAACCACGGAAACGTCTTCGGACAGCGCTGGTTCTTCGCCTTGGAAACAGAGATGAGCACCGCACCCTAGAGTCGGATTCGACTGGCTTTCGAGCAAGGGAAACCTTTACCTTTTACTTATTGGAGTTCACAAAGCTGGGCAAAGGCCAGCCGCCGCCAGCAACTTTGCAAAGCCTGTCAAAACGGCGTTACTATTGCTCATCAGTCTGATTGGGCTTCTACACTCAAAGCTGCCCAAAGGTCTTGCAACAAAGTAAGTCCACGCAGCAGGGAGACAGGACACGTTCTGAGTTAAAAACAATTTATTTTCAAATAAATATCTGCATTTGCATGAAAAAACAAACATATCACAGCGTTTGGCTTGGCGTTGTTCATTTGCTTGTCCTTTAAATGTAAAAACGGTCTCTTCTCGTACATCGTCAGGGGTGTCCCCTGGCTTGGCAAACAGTGCGGTGTGTTCCCCACCTCCCACTCGCCCCCACCCCCTTGCCCATATAACCCCTTTAATAGCTCAGCTTCAGTGCAAGTCGAAGAAGGGCCTCGGCTCTTTGGAAAGTGCAAGCGTTTAAATACGTGAGCAAAGGCGATCCGGCAGCGGCCGGCCAATATACCCTAACAGCGGCTTATCCTTTCTCCATTTCCTTCCGTCGCGTGCATTACTTGTGGGGATCCCTGAAAGAAACCCCATCCTAACCTATACAAATTCACCTCCCCAAAGCTGGTCGGGGAGGGCCAGGTTATGCAGTCCCGTTTCCTGTACAGGGGAGGTAAATTCCAGCCGATCTGTTTGGGACAGACCCGGAGGGCTGGGCTCAGGAGCGGCTCTTTGCGGTCACCTCGGAAGGGCTTCAGAACAAAACGGAAAAGCGAGTAACCCAGGGGGGCCTTGGGGAGCTGCCTGTATCAGTGGGGTGCAGAACCGAGCGTGTTGGGGAAAGGGGTGGCGTGCAACCAGAGCCAGCGTTTTAGGGGACCCTTGAAGGCTCGAGGGTGAGAAAATGGGCAGGACGGATGCTTTGACGCAAGGAAAGCGCAAGCAAGGGAAGGGGGTATAAGTGGTAAGTGAACACAAGGGGAGGATGGGTGCAAAGGGACTCTGGGAAGAACTGGTGGCTCTTTATGGGAACGGAAAGGGTGGATTACAGTGACGTTGGGTGGCGCGAGCAGATGAATATATACAGCAAACAAAGGGTGGATTACAGTTACTTTGGGTGGTGTGAGCGGATGAATACATACAGCAAGTGAGATTAGGGATGTGAGCGTGTTTGGGGGATAGCGAGCCGGTGGCAACCTCAGGGCTAATGTAAATAAGGCAGAAAGGGAGATGGTAGGGGGTCTTTCTCGGTGGGCACACAGGAGATACCCTGGGACGGGGACGGGGAAATCCAGTTTCCCCCCCCGCCCTTCCCCCCACTGCAGTGCTGTGGTTCTGTGGCTCAGGCGGGTGGCCCCCCTTCCCCCCCTCTTGCCCCCCACTTCTGCTGGCATTGTAGATATACAGTACATAGCAACTACTAGAGTCTGGCTCAGACAGGGCGCCCAGTCCGGTCTCTTCTGCCAACAACTGGTGACCCACGGGCGTTGGGGGACCCATGGGCGTTGGGGGACCCGCGGGCATTGGGGGACCCACGGGGATCTGGCTGGCGAGCCGGGGAGCCCCGCGCCGGAGAAGCACGGGTGTTCGCGGGGCTGCCACGGTTGGTGGGCTGCCTACCGGGAGAGTCTCGGGAAAGGACAGGGGAAGCCCGATTGGGGGCAGGGGAACCTCCCGGGCCCCGCGCAGGTCCTGGCGCCACATCCATCGTCAGCACTCCGTGGACCTGGGAGAGCTGAGGGCTGTCCATGCTGGCAACCAGCTGGCGACGGCCCGGGCGTAGCGGCGTGAACGTCTGGCGCATCTTCACCGTCTGGTGTGGGCCGATATCCCTGTTAAGAGAACGGAAGAGAGTCAGACACCTTCGAGAACCGGGGAGCCAAAAAGAAGGGACGGAAGGAAGGAACAGGGAAGGAAGTCAGCTTGGAGTTGTGAAGTCCTGCCCTCATACCCCAGGTCTGTGGGAATCATAGACTCATAGAATGTTAGAGTTGGAAGGGACCTTGAAGGTCATCTAGTCCAACCCCCCTGCACTCTGCAGGAGCATCGCCAAAAGATAGCCCTACATACCTACGACATACCCGAAAGATGATCGTCCAGCCTCCGCTTGAAAATGTCCAGCGAAGGAGCATCCACCACCTCCCGAGGCAGTCTGTTCCACTGCTCAACCACTCTTACAGTCAGGAAGTCTCTCCTGATATTTAGCCGGTAACGACTCCCTTGTAATTCCCACCCATTAGATCCAGTCTTGCAATCCAATCCGGAGCAAGAGAGAATAGATCTGCTCCATCTTCTACATGACAGCCCTTCAGATACTTGAAGACTGAAATCGTGTCCCCTCTAAGCCTTCTCTTTCCCAGGCTAAACATCCCGTTAGGGGTATTCACTGGACAGAGACCAAGCGCATGCCGATGCTTGTAGTATTCATATAATATTTGCCAATGTGTTGACTGTGATTCTCGCTGCAAAAGTCTGCCCCCTGACCTGGATGGCCCGGCCGAGCCAGATCTCGTCAGATCTCTGAAGCTAAGCAGGCTCAGCCTTGGTTAGTACTTGGATGGGAGACCACCAAGGAAGTCCAGGGTTGCTACGCAGAGGCAGGCAACGGCCAACCACCTCTGCTCCTCTCTTCTCTTGAAAACCCCGTGAGGGGTTGCCCTAAATCAGTGGTGGTGCCTATGGCTCAGGTGCCAGAGGTGGCACTCAGAGCCCTCTCTGTGGGCATGCGTGCCATCGCCCCAGCCAGGCTCAGACCATCATTAAAGTGTCGAATTCTCTGCCAAATAATGTTAAGCAAACGAAAGCATTTGGGATGGCTTTCCTTACTTTGTTTGGATCATCTTAAGTTAATGTATGAGTTGTTATTTCTAAAGTAAAACCTCAGTATTCCGGTTAAATGGCCGTATTGGCATTTTGTGATAAATAAGTGGGTTTTGGGTCGCAGTTTGGGCACTCGGTCTCTAAAAGGTTCACCATCACTGCCCTAAATCAACTGCCATTTAGTGGCATTTTCCACCACCAAGGTACATCCCATAAAGTGGGCTCTAGCCCATTAGAAGATTGGATTTATACCCCGCCCTTCACTACCCAAAGGAGTCTCAGAGTGGCTTACGAACTCCTTTCCCTTCCCCTGCCCACCAATGTTCCCTCTAAGCTGTGGAGTCTTGCGAGCAAACATTCTACTTCGCGAGCTACTGGCATTAAATTTGTGAGTGAACCATTTGGCTACTGCATAAATTAGTTTACTCTAGAGCCCTCCTTCCCGAGCCAAGACAAAAATGTGTGAGCTGGAGGCTAAAAAACGGTGAGCTAGCTCACACTCACTCAGCTTAGAGGAAACACTGCGTCCCCACAACAGACACCCTGTGAGGTCGGTGGGGCTGAGAGAGCTCTTTCGAGGACTGCCCTTGCGAGGACAGCTCTTGTCAGAACTACGGCTTGCCCAAGGTCACACCAGCAGCTGCGAGTGGAGGAGTGGGGGAATCAAACCCGGTTCTCCCAGATTAGAGTCCGCGCTACTTAACCACGACACCAAACTGGATGGGCCAGGTTGGTCTGATCTCATCAGATCTCGGAAGCTAAGCAGGGTCGACCCTGGTTAGTCCTTGGATGGGAAACCACCCATGAAGTCCCGGGTTGCTCTGCAGAGGCAGGCAAGCGGCAGACCACCTCCTGTTCACCTCTTGCCTTGAAAACCCTACAGGGTCTCCATACATGAGCTGCGACTTGACCGCTCTTTCCACACAAGCAGGTGCGCCCGTCCCTTCCCTGTGGAAATGCAACCATGAAGCAAGGCCTTTCGATCCGCGCATCGCAAACGAGGACCACAAATGCAATAACTTGCAGGGGATGGAGATGCCATTTGATGGCTTAAGGGGAGGCAGGCTGTTCAGGATCCCACCCAATGTTCTGGGTGGGAAACGGATGGGGGGGGGCAGCAGGGAATTAGGTTTGGCGTCGTGGTTAGGAGCGCGGACTCTAATCTGGGAAAGCCGGGCTTGATTCCCCACTCCTCCACATGCAGCTGCTGGGGTGACCTTGGGCCAGTCCCAAGTTCTCTCAGAGCTGTTCTCTCAAGGGCAGTTCTTGAGAGAGCTCTCTCGGCCCCAACTGGCTCACAGGGGGTGCGTTATTTGGTCCTGCGCTGGGCAGGGGGTTGGACTAGATGGTCTGTCAGGCCCCTTCCAACTCTATGATTCTATGATTCTGTGACTCGCAATGATGGGCAGACATTGGAGGGACTACTCACCCCACTGTCATGGTATTGGGGGTGGAGAGCCCGGATCCCTCCATGTGGAAGATGACGCTAGTCAGCATGACAGGAAGTGGGTTTTTGAAGACGATCTGGACCTGGGTCTCTTGTCCGACGATGGCTGGGCCCAGTAACTGAGAAAAGAGAGAGGATTTGAGGATCGTGAACCCAAGTAGGAAAAAAGTTATACACGCCCCTTTCGGCGGCATTCCCACGAACAAAGACAAACACCGTTCTGTACCCTGAGAAGGATCCTGACCATACTTTTTGGGCCGCGCGTTTTAAGAGTACCCAACTTTGCCCTGACCTGGATACCCCAGGCTATCGCCAGGTCTGGGAAGCTAAGCCGGGTCGACTCTGGCCAGTACTTGGATGGGAGACCTCCATGGAATACCAGAGGAGGGAGGCGGGGGCAGGCTTTACTCAGCCACCTCTCCGGATAGCCTCCAGGCCGCCAGCAAGGGGCAGTCACCAGAGGTCGCCATGACTTCCCGACACACATACTCACATATTTTAAAAATACCCCCCCCAAAAAAAAAAAGAGTACCCAACCTGAAGAAGAGGGACCCTGCTTTGTTCCCACAAAGAACATCACATTAACTGAAGACAGGGCTATTTTTGGGCAGGAACGCACAGGAACGGAGTTCCGGCTGGCTCCCAAGTTGGCCACGCCCAGCAGGAACTCATTAGCATAATAGGCCACACCCAACAGCAGGAACTTATTCGGATTGGCTACAATTAGGGGTGTGTGGCCTAACATGCAAAAAGGGTTATGACAACAAACAAGGTAAAGAGAATAAGAAGCAATAGGTGGGTGTGGCTGGATGACCACACTTCTGGTAGCGTGGGGGTGTGGCCTAATATGCTAATGAGCCGTGCTGTCAGGGGTGTGGCCTATTATGCTAATGAGTTCCTGCTGGGCTTTTTCTACCAAAAAAGCCCTGACTGAAGACATGCAAGGATATCATTTCCTTGGCCCTCTAGACGGGACGTTGCCCTTTCTGTGACAGATGGAGGAGCTAATCGTACTCTGGAAGTATTCACAGGAAGAGGCAAAAGGAAAATCTTAAGTCTCTTGCTTGCTCTGATCCCTTCCTCCTCTTTCAGGAGTAAACATTTGTGAAGCTGAAGTAACAGTGAGTCAGAGCCGGGAAACGAGAGAATCCAAGCCCTATAGGGTAGGATTCCCTCTTGCCTTCTTATGGTGGGAGAATTGCAGCCCTGGCCCGACGATTGTTCAGCTGCTCAGCAGGCGGAAGCTGGGGCCAAAGGGGGGTGCACAATCGTGGGGGGAAAGAACAGAAAGAAGCTACGAGGCCTCAGCTATTTACCAGTAAGTTCTGACCACAGAGTTCCTGACAATTCCTAGAGCTACCCAAAAGATTGAAGGTCAAAGAAGACGGGGACAGCAAAGGATGAGATGGTTAGACAGTGTCATAGATGCAACAAACATGAAATTGAGCAAACTTCAGAGGACGGTGGAAGACAGGAAGGCCTGGCGTGATCTGGTCCATGGGGTCGCGAAGAGTCGGACTCGACTGTGCGACTGAACAACCCAAAAGCGACAAGGGTGGCTCTAGCAATCACCAGAAAAATCTATGGTCATCTTACCATAGCATTTCCGGTAATTGCTAGAGCTACCCTCATTGCTTCCTAAGATTTCCCTCAATTCTTGTCACTTTGGGCTTCCAGCTCCGCCCTCAGTTCCTGAAACGTTGGCATCTGGTCCTACCGTCAGAGTGAGATCCGGAGTGCGCAGACGGAAGGTGTGCTCCTTAGCCAGCACTTGACCTGTCTCAGTCACTTTTCCAGAGATGCTGAGCTTCATGGCCCCCTGGTCCACCAGGTGGGGCTTGTACTCGGCGTAGGTGATCAGCATCGGAACGGTCTGGGCTGGAGGGAGACAGAAATGGGGTTACAAAGACGCCTGCCGAATGCAGCAGTCCTGGGGAAATGGACGGCATCGCACCGAGATGGCCGGCACCGCGCCCCCTTAGGCTGGTGGTGGACACAGCGTTGTTGCCAGCAGGGGTCATTTCGTAGAAAAAGAGATAGGGGAACTCATTAGCATAACTCATTAGCATATGCCCATCCCCCTGACATCAGGGGCCTGGCGGTGGACCTGCAAGGCCGGCGGGAGTGCAAGGAAGCCCCGCCAAGGCCCTCCCTGGCCCCAGGCAGGCAGGGGTGGGGAGAGGCGGGGAGGAAGCAACTTACCCTCCCTCTTCTCCTGCCTCCTCCTGGCTGACTGGGGGCTGGAAGCGGGGCGGCCGGAAACAGGGGGCGGGGCTTCGTCGTGTGCCCCGCCCCCGCACTTCACCCGGGGGAACTGCAATCCCCCGCGATCCCCCCTGAATCAACCTCTGGTTGCCAGCCCTGTGCCCTGGAAAGCCAACCGTGGCCTTCTTGTCAGGAACAGACCGACAAAGTTTTATACTTTGAATAAAACTTGGTTGGTCTTAAAAGGTAAACAATGAAATGGTCACAGTCCAGAGAACTTACAACATATGAATCATGCAACTGTGATAAAGAAGCATTCACAATTTTTTATCTAAAGATGTTATAAAGGTAAAGGTAAAGGTTCCCTTGCTCGAAAGCCAGTCGAATCCGACTCTAGGGTTGCGGTGCTCATCTCCGTTTCAAAGCCGAAGAGCCAGCGCTGTCCGAAGACATTTCCGTGGTCATGTGGCCGTCATGACTAAACGCCAAGGCGCACGGAACGCTGTTACCTTCCCACCGAAGTGGTACCTATTTATCTACTTGCAATTTCTTGCTTTCAAACTGCTAGATTGGCAGTTATAAAGATATAAAGTTATAAAGATGTTATACAAAACATTAATTTCTGAATGTGATTATTACAGGAGATAATACAATAGAAACAGAAGCGAAAAGGCAGGACGGTGGTCTCCGGACTGGTGCTGCCGTTTCGACAATAGGTCTTCGTCTAACCAGAAATTGTGCCAATCAATGTGAAGTGTGGAGTTCCTCAAGCAACAAAAAGCTGCATATTCGTGAGTTTTCTAACTCTTATAGCTTGAGAAGCAACATCTCTAATTTTAGATTGACTTCAGCCCTTTTGGGAGAACTTTTTTCTAGAATGAGAGATGTTGCTTCTCAAGCTATAAGAGTTAGAAAACTCACGAGTATGCAGCTTTTTGTTGCTTGAGGAACTCCACACTTCACATTGATTGGCACAATTTCTGGTTAGACGAAGACCTATTGTCGAAACGGCAGCACCAATCCGGAGACCGCCGTCCCGCCTTTTCGCTTCTGTTTCTATTGTATTATCTCCTGTAATAATCACATTCAGAAACTAATGTTTTGTATAACATCTTTAGATTAAAAAATTGTAAATGCTTCTTTATCACAGTTGTATGATTCATATATTGTATGGTCTCGAAAGGTGCCACTGGGTAAGTACCTGCAGTTTGCCAGGTATCAGGAAGGCACTAAAGGCCAACGTGTGTTTTTAGAAAGCGGGTGGGGCCAGGCAGACAGGGCTTCTGATGGGCCACCGGAGATCTGATTGACAGTGCAGATTGTAATAACTTCGTGTCCGTGGCAGCTGCCATGGCAGCAGGGATTTTATTCTCCCTTTCTCTCCTCTTTCCCAGTGTATTTTTAGAAATTACCCCACTTGTTCCCCACACTTGGTCTTCTGCTTGTATGTGTTGTCTGTGTGTCCGCCTCCCACAAGGACCAGTGTTCCCTCTAAGCCGAGTTCGTGTGAGCGAGCTCACAGTTTTTCAGCCTCCGGCTCACACGTTTTTTGTCTTCGCTCAGGAAGGAGGGCTCCAGGACAAACTCATTTACGCAGCAGCCAAATCGCTCGCTCACGACTTTCATGCCAGCCGCTCGCAAAGCAGGATTTCTGCTCACAAGACTCCACAGCTTAGAGGGGGCATTTAGTGGTTGTGCCCGCCACCCTGTGTCAGGATTCCAAAAGGACCCCCAGGATCGAAACGGTTGGGGACCCCTGACTTAAGGTCGTCTTTGCTGTGTGAATTCACGATCACTGGCGACTCTTTGCTGCACGTCGGCACATCGGAGGGCTTAACATGGGAGAGGCCCTACACAGAGAGAGGCTCTGCCTCTCTGCCCTGCTGTTGGCCCTCCAGAGGAACTAGGTGGCCAGTGTCTAGGGTTCCCACCCTCCAGGTGGGGCCTGGAGATCTCCCGCTTTTACAGCTGATCTCCAGCGGGAGAGAGGTTGAAAAGTCGTACTTCCGTTTGCTGGAATCTGGACCTGCCGCTGCTCCTTCTTAAAAGGGCTGCTGGTGACGCCCGTGTAGTACATGACGGCCACGAAGAGGTTGAGAGAGACCTCACGGGGCATGTTGCTTTTGTTCTTCAGGTGGACCCGCAGGGTGATGTCTTGCCCCGTGTAGGCGTCTTGTGCATCCACCGACAGTGAAATGTCCTCCCGCCAGTCTTTGTTCTTGTAGATGTGGGCCTTGGTGCCATGCTTGGCAGCCGTTTCCACTGCCTTGCGCTCCTCCTCGGATCCTGGGGGGAATCCAGAGACAAAGAGAGGACGTTAGGGAAGGGGATATGCCTAGGGCTCTTTTTGTAAAAAAAGCCCAGCAGGAACTCATTAGCATAATAGGCCACACCCAACAGCAGGAACTCATTAGCATATTAGGCTGCACCCCCATGTTACCAGAAGTATGTTCATCCAGCCACACCAACCTTTTGCTTCTTATTCTGTTTAGCTTGTTTGTTGTCAAAACCCAGGGCCTTTTTTTGTAGCAGGAACTCCTTTGCATGTTAGGCCACACACCCCTAACGTAGCCAATCCTGCTGTTGGGTGTGGCCTATTATGCTAATGAGTTCCTGCTGGGCATGGCCAACTTGGGAGCCAGCCGGAACTCCGTTCCTGTGCGTTCCTGCCCAAAAATAGCCCTGGTATGCCCATCTGTTGGCAAACGGGGGGAACCGAAAAGACTCCCAGGAGATGAAGGACCAGATAACATCTCAGCCACTCATTTGATAGAATGTGAGGTGTGCATGGACTCCACCTCCAGAGAAATCGCCATCACTGTACCTTCAGGGTGTTTGTAGAGGCTGGTGACGTCCTCGCGCTTGTGGGAGCCCACCGCCTTGGTGCTGATCAGGTGGCCAATTGCTTTCTCCTCCACATAGACAATCTTGAAGCTGCCGTCAGATTGGCGCTGCCAATACACCTTATCACTGTTCACCTGCAGAGGGTGTCAAAGAAACAGTCAGCAACACCCCTCTCCATTTCCCCCTAGGGTAATTCTCGCTAACACGGCTGGCTATCTGGATCTATCGAGGCTCAGCTGAGCTTGGAATCCAGCTGGGACAACGTCTGCTTTCCATCAGGAGCTGTCCCAGGTCCTGAAGAATCTGCCCGTGGCAGAGACAGCCGCCCCCAGGAAGGGCTGCAAAGGACTGTATTCTAATAATGTTCCCATGAAACAAATACCTCAGCATACCTCAGCAAAACAGAACGAGGCATCATACTTCATGTAGACCAACCCGTTCTTGATGGCCTCAACGGAGCAGGGTCCACAGCAAAAGATGCCTATAGGGGAAATATGGAAAAGCAGGGAGAAGATCAGAACCTGAAGGTGCACAGAGCCATGAGAGAGAATACAGACTCCGCATCAGTTTTGGGAGTGGCCAGTAGTGTTCTGTTGACCTGAGGGACTCCCGGCAACATGATTTCAAGTAACTCAAGATCGAAATTAAGAACATGCGAGGTGGATGAGTGCCAAGAGCTATTTTTTAATGACAAACCCTGCATTGCAGACATTTCTCCAGAAATATTCTGGAAAATGGTTCGTAAAGTTATTCACGACATTTAGGACATTATTGTTCCAGTGAAGCCTGAAGTCCTTCTACTTAATTGCACTGAAAACGTTGCAGTTACCCATAGGGAACTGGTGCTAAATTTATCAGCAGTGGCAAGAAATACTTTTGCTAGACATTGGAAGACCCAGGTACCTCCTAATTAAAAAAAACAACAGGCCGTTCAATGATACGCGGCAAATGGTAAAATTAACTGCGCTGCAGTGTTTTGGGAAATGTACAATAAGAAGAAAGTTGGCAGCCTTTAATTAGATATTTCAATTTAGCGGTAGGGTAATGCATGAGATCATGTCTTTTGTCAGAAAGGCGTGTATGTCAGCTGATTTTCAAAGTGAATATTGTTTTGCACAATTAGTAAAGGTAAAGGTTTCCCTTGCTCGAAAGCCAGTCGAATCCGACTCTAGGGATGCGGTGCCCATCTCCGTTTCCAAGCCAAAGAGCCAGTGCTGTCCAAAGACGTTTCCGTGGTCATGTGGCTGGCATGACTAGACGCCGAGGCTCATAGGACACTGTTACCTTCCCATCGAAGCGGTACCTATCTACTTGCAATTTCTTGCTTTCGAACTGCTAGGTTAGCAGGAGCTGAGGCCAGAGACGGGAGCTCACTCCGTCACGCGGCACTCGGGTCTCGAACTGCCAAACTACCGACCTTCCGGTCTGCAGTTCAGCGTCTTCACCACTTGAGCCACCGCAGCCCCTTTTTCACAATTGCCGTATAACAAATGAAGTAAGTAAATAGACGGAGTAAGGCTCTGGGCCAAGGTCAGCACATCTATAGAGCGAGGTGGGATCACACTGGCGCTTCATGTCCCCTGATCCTCGTTGGTTTAATAGCTGCATTACCACCCTTCGCCATCCGCTGAGGTGGCGCTGTTGCACAGCACAGGCCCACAGTTTACTCGGCTCGAAAAGAGCCAGAGAGAAAGGTAGTTTCAGAGGGTTTAGCCATGTCAATCAGCAGCAAAAGAGCCATCTTCGGGTCCAGTAGCCCCTTAGAGACGAACAAGATTTCGGCGGTATGAGCTTTTGAGTGTCAAAGCTCCCCTCAGGAGAAAGGCCCCCTGCATTCACCCCTCCCTTGAGATCCACGAGGCCTTACATTCTTCCCTCATCCCCCCGTCTTCCCTGGCCTTGACTACTATACGGGACACCCCTCCACAACGTACCACTGCTTGACTCTTGAGGCGTGGCGTCCACCACCTGCCAGCCATCAAACCCCGAAGGCAGATCAGGGCGTGTCATCCAGCAGTCGTTCCAGACATGGAAATTCCTGCATTGGGGTGCAGAAGAGAAGGCTGGGGTTAGGCGGCAGCCACACTGGTCCGGGTCTCGGTCCCCACGGCCTCGATACGGCACCCCCTGCCGGTAGAGTCGGTCGACGTCCCCTTACCAGACGGAGTCGGCATTCAGGTTTTCCAAGGGCTTCATGTTCTCGTCGAAGTAAATGTCCATGGTGAGGCTGACGTCGGTGTCGTGGGCCGAGTTGTAGTTCGTGACCGTCCGCGTGGCGATGCCCAGGCAACGCAGCACTGGGGAGAGGGGAAGGGGGAACAGCGTCAGCAGAGGGAGACCCTCGTCTTCAACCGCGACACCCTCCCAACCGGCTGCCGTTCCTCCCAGTTTTGTATCGTGTCAGAGTTGGGGACGCACATTCTCAGCACTGGCGAAGCACGCCGATGGGGACTTGCACCAGTCAGCCGGCCCAAACAAAGGGCGAACTGTGAGTTAAACGTCTCCCCTTATAGCTTGTGAAATGCCACGCAGTTACGGTTGCCAACTGAGTTGGAAATTCCTGCAGGTTTGGGGGTGGAGCTTGGGAAGAGCAGGGACTTCACTGGGGGGTATAATGCCATAGAGCCCACCCTCTAAATCAGCCATTTCCTCTGGGATAACTGATCCCTGTAGCCTGATCAGTTGTGATTCCAGAAAACCTGGAAGTTGGCAACTCAGTTACTCTCCTAGCTGCTTCTTGGGTTTCTCTCTCTCTTTCTTTTCTTTTTAATTAAATTTTTATTAATTCCAGATCTTACAAATTAATTGCAAGCTTTTTTTTTTCAACCAAAAGAAATAAGTTTAACATTCTTTAATAATAATAATCCGCTACAAGATGCCAACTCTGTCCTGCTTCTACCTCATCTGTATATAATAGTCATTCATTAAGTCCGGTAGAGATTGGCGCGCCTAAATAAATATTTCTGCCCCTCAGAATTCCTCCAGTACCAGTGCTTTATTTATAAACCCTATTTCCCATAATTCCCTTGACACGGAGAGTACTCCATCTTTCTGAGTTATACCTCTGAGGATGTCCAAGAAACGATCCAAAAAATGGAAACCTGTATGCGTACTGCGCTACAAAAATAGTTTAAGTATTTAAAGCAACAGTGCGGATATACACACAATCAACATTTCACAAGGTAAGTACAAAAATAAGCAAATTCATGAGATGTTAACGATGATCTCCGGAACGTTCTACCGTTTCGATAATAATCTTCTTCCGAATGAAGATGAAGAGTATGCCCTTCTAAGAATCATCTGGAACCTTATACAATGATGTCATGATACTTCAGTGAGACTTATATGTACCAGTTGAGACATTGACTAGAGATGTTGCATACTCTCCATCTTCGTTCGAAAGAAGATTATTATCGAAACGGTAGAACGTTCCGGAGATCATCGTTAACATCTCATCAATTTGCTTATTTTTGTACTTACCTTGTGAAATGTTGATTGTGTGTATATCCGCACTCTGGATCATTACGCTGTCACTTTAAATACTTAAACTACGCATACAGGTTTCCGTTTTTTTGGATCGTTTCTTGGACTTGCTTTAATACTGTTACCATCATCTCTACACAATACCTCTGAGGATGCTAGTCACAGTTACTGGCGAAACGTCAGGTTCTACAATGCCAAGACCACGGCCACGCAGCCCGGAAAATCTACAGCAACTAATCCCATAATTTTCCTTATAACTATTTGAGTAAAGTTTTACTAGATCTCCTTATGCTTATAACCATATATTCTGTCCTTATTTCGTTTCCAAATTTATATTATAAAATAGGATGAAATAAAATAGGAAGAATGTTTCTCTTGGGTTTCTCTTGCCCTCCCTATTCCCCTTCCCTTCCCTTCTTTCCATGGCACCCATTCCCCCACCTTCTTTCTCCCTCCCACGGCCTGTTCCCACCTTGTTACTCCCCCCACGGTAGCTACCTGTAGTCACGACTCCAGCGAACACCCAGCACTGCCCGTACATCACGGGGTAGCCTGTCTGGTGATACTGCAGGAGAATGTCGCGGCTGCCCACCCAGGCCGAGGGGTTGGTGCCGCGGGAATAGTCACCCGTCCAGTTTCCTACCAGGACCCCGTTGTCATCCAAAGAGTTGACCTGAGAGAGGGAGAGTGTTGGGTGATAGTGAGATATTGAAAAAAATGGTATTTAGCAGAGATAATATAGCCCAGCAGAGCCTGAGTAAAATAATTCAGACTGAGAGTCCATGTGTGATTAAAATATAAAGTTTTTACTAAATTCTAGCATGGGAAGGGTAACTGGGATGAAAATAACAACAGAGCATAATCGGCTGCATCCTTACACTACAAAGACAAAACTAGAAGAGAGAATGGCCACTCTCCTTCTTCTTCAGAACACCAAAAAACAAAGATGGGAAGAGGAGCCATAAAATGGTAATACACCTCAACACTTTAGTCCCAATCAAATCCCTAGATCAGGGAGAAAATTCCCGGGCTTCCTACATCTAAAGAACATTGGTTACATGAGAAACATGTGACTTCCTGTGAGTAACATAAACAAACATTTAATCCCAGATATACTGAGTTTTTTCAACTTGTAATACCCAACAGAGAGAATATTAACTGCCTGGTTAGCAACAGGAAAAAGCAAACCGTGCCGAAAAGGGCTCGGAGCAAAATATGCATTTCCCCAGTTCGCCTCTCTGGATATGTTTCACCACAACAGGTTTACTTGTCGAAGCAGGGCCTTCTGCGGGGCCACCCGGCGAACAGGCAAGATCAAAAATGGCCCGTTGTGTGTGCATGTCTCTGTTGCGGTTCTCAGCCTGGTGGAAAGGCCTGCCTGAGGAGGCCAGGAAGGCCCCCACGCTTCTGTCATTCCACCAACGATGTAAAGCAGAATTGTTCAGGAGGGCAGAGGTCAGCTTTATGAGGGGACTCAATAGACACCTGGTCAAATGAAATCGGGCAGGAGGGTACTCTTAAGAAAGATAAGGGTGTTGGGGTTTTGGTGGGTGTGAAATTTTGGGCAGCTCTCTTTTCCCTTCCCTTTCACCCAGCATTTTTTTTTATTATTCCGGCCATTCCAGACAGACAATGGCAGTGGTGCGCTGTGACCGAGAAAAAAAAAATGCTGACGACCTCAAAAGGGATGCCGAGAGAGAGGAGAGAGAGAGAGAGAGAAAGGCTGCCGGAACACGCCTGATGATCACCGCAGACCATAAACTCCCTGTTGACTGTGGAATGTGTGTAATTTAAATGATATATGTTGTCCTCCCTTACCCCCCTCACTGTTAGTCCCGTGTCAACACAAAGAGTAACTGTAAATCGCTCAGAGCCAGCAGCTCTACAAGGATCGAGCGATCAATAAATTGAAAGATTATTATTATTTTTATTATTATGCTTCCTTTATCTATTTTCCTCTCTAATTGTGACGCCCAGACAGACTATAGTGATGTTTTTATTCCATTGTTCGTTAACTGCGTACCGCATTTTATTGCATTGGTGACCATATGTACTATAAGAATGAGGCAAAACCCTCCCAAAACAGTAGCTCTGTCTAAATGAAGTTAATAAATCAACGGGCGGCAAGCTGAAAAGCAAGCCACAGTGAGACCGGTTAACCATTCCTTCATAATTTCCGGTTAACCGGTGGAACTCCCTGCCACGTCATGCTGAAAATATGCAACAGCCTGGCTGGTTGAGCCTGTCCTGCAAGGTCAGGCGCATAGTAACTCCTGCATCTATCAGATCTCACCTGCACATTGCCATAATGAACAGGGCCATGATCCTGTTCACCCTTACTTGGGAAGAAGTCCCATGGTCAGCCCCTTTGGCAGGATTTTGTGGCTTGTGGGGCAATTTTTTTTTCCTGGTGGGGCTGCCATTATTTGCCATAATGAAGGGGCCACCCGTGCCCCTCTCCCTCCTCCCTGCAAGATTCAAAGGGCCCTTCAGCTGATCAGCGGGGGGCGCGTGGCCCCCCGATCAGCTGGAGGGCCCTTTAAATCATGCAGGGGGGAGGGAGAAGGGTGAGCACCCCCCCACTTCTTCCCAAAATGATTTAAAGGGATCCTTTAAATGCTTTTGGGAAGAAGTGGGGGCCCCTTTAAGGAAGGGGGCTGGCTCTTTGAGGAAGGGGGCGGAGCTTCTGGTGAACTTATTTCTGCATAAATGTGCAGGAGATCCGGCTGTTAACTCTGTTTGCCATTCCCTATATATGATCAGAGAGGCAGTGTAGTGTAGTGATTAGGGGTCGGGCTACTTTCTGGGAGAACCAGGTTAAAAACTCTACCGTGCCACGGATGACCTTGGCTCTCTCACGCACTGACAACCTAGCCTACCTCACAAGCAATGCTCCCTCTCCGCTGTGGAGTCTTGTGAGCAAAAATCCTATTTTGTGAGCTACCGGCATTAAAGCTGCGAGCGAGCCATTTGGCTGCTGCATAAGTTAGTTTGCTCTGGAGCCGTCCTTCCCGAGCTAAGACAAAAAATCTGTGAGCCGGAGGCTAAAAAACTGTGAGCTGGCTCACACTAACTCAGCTTAGAGGCAGGGCTATTTTTGGGCAGGAACGCACAGGAACGGAGTTCCGGCTGGCTCCTGAGTTGGCCACGCCCAGCAGGAACTCATTAGCATAATAGGCCACACCCAACAGCACAAACTCATCAGGATTGGCTACATTAGGGGTGTGTGGCCTAACATGCAAAGGTGTTCCTGCTCCAAAAAAAGCCCTGGGTTTTGGCAACAAACAAGGTAAACAGAATAAGACAAAGATGGATGGTTTTTTTGGACATCACTTGGTAAGAAAAGCATTATTTGCGACATGGATGAGGTATAAAAAATATTTTCGTGAGGTAAGACCGATGTGGATTGTACCAGCAGAAGTTTTAACACCTTACTCAAGACAGCAAGGCAAAGAATGGTTGCCATATAGAGACTTAATTAAAAAAGAGGGAACAGAATGGACAATGAAAAAGCAGAATGAAATTGACTATAAATATGAATGGTTGAAATATATGCAGATTTATGATGTTTTTAAACTAGATAAAAAATTATGGTTTTAGGGAAGAAAAAAATGAAATAGAGAATATATGGGAGAGTGGTGGGAAGAAAAAGATTTCAAATATGTATAAAATATTGCTAAAATGGTATACTGAAGATGAGATGGTTAAAGAACAAATGATAAAATGGGAAATTAATATGAACAAAGAAGTGACTATTGATGTATGGGAGTATTTGTGGAAAAACTCGATTAAGATTTCGACCTGTACCAATGTTAGAGAGAACTGTTATAAAATGATGTATAGATGGTACATGACGCCAAAAAAAATAGCAAATATGAACCAGAATTTGTCTAGTAAATGTTGGAAATGTAAGAAACATGAGGGCTCATTTTACCATATGTGGTGGACATGCGAAAAGGCGGTGGATTTTTGGACGAAAATCCACAATGAAATACAAAAAATATTGAAATGCTCTTTTAAAAAGACACCAGAAATTCTGCTTTTGGGACTTAAAATGGAAGAAGTTAATGTAACAAAAAAGACTTTACTCTGGTACTTAATAACAACAGCAAGAATGATTTATGCACAATATTGGAAAATAGATAAAGTGCCAGAGATAGAAGATTGGATACAAAAAGTTCTGTTCATGGCAGAGATGGATAAAATTACAAGAAAATTAAACAACAGAGAAGATGAAGAGTTTTTGGATGAATGGAAGGACTTTAAAATTTATTTGGAAAAGAACTGGGATGTAAAGCAAAGTTTACTGTATTTAGAACAATACTAAATCAACTGATTGTTATCTAAAGATTTTAATGTTAAGAAAAATGAGAATATTTGATGTTATGCTGAAAAAAAGAGATAAAAAGGGGAAAGCATTGTGGGAAGCTGAGAAGGGGGGGAGGTATTGGGAATAGGGTGAATGAAATGTAATGGAAACTATTAATTGTGTTAGCTATATGAATTCTCAATGAATTAAAAATAAAAATTTTGCTAACCAAAAAAAGAATAAGAAGGGAAAGGTGGGTGTGGCTGGATGACCACACTTCTGGTAACATGGGGGTGTGGCCTAATGTGCTAATGAGTGGTGCTGTCAGGGTGTGGCCTAATATGCTAATGAGTTTTGCTGTTGGGTGTGGCCTATTTTGCTAATGAGTTCCTGATGGGCTTTTTCTACAAAAAGAGCCCTGCTTAGAGGGAACACTGCTCACAAGGTGGTTGCGATGAGGATACAGTGGAGGAGAGGAGAAAAAGGTGGGCGGACTCCGTACCCCACCGGGGAGAAAGGCCAGGTATAAACGAGGTAAGTAAATCAATCGCAGCAAACTCATCAAATGTAACCTGCTTGTGTGAATGGGGGGGAGCATCTGTAGTCAGGACCCGGTTTGAGAATGGGGCAAGGAACATGAGCGTGCCTCTCTGAACATGTGCAGAGTTCACTGCCTTGGGGTGTTGGGCTTCAGGAAGAACGATACAGCTTCTGGGGAATTCTGAGTCCGGGGACCTCTCGCTGTTCTAAGCGAGCCCACCGGGCTAAAGCCCGTTTACCTCCAGCGATGTTTGTGTGTCCACTGAACTTGTGAATGGCTCCGACTGTTTGGTTCCCACGGTGAAGGTGGGGGCAAAAGAAAGAAAAAGCTGAGCCCTCCGGATCGAAGGACCAGGAAAAAGCAGAGGATAAGGCAGGCCGCAAAGCCAAAAGAAGAGAATAAGGGCTTCGAAGACTGAGGAAGACGACCCAGAGAGCAGCCTCCAATCCCATTAGGGAGGGGGTTTGGCTCAGTGGCAGAGCCTCTGCTTGGCATGCAGAAGGTCACAGGTTCAATCCCCGGCATCTCCAATTAAAAGGATCAGGCAACAGGAGATATAAAAGGCTTCTGTCTGATGGTTTTTATACGCCGCTTTTCACTACTCAAAGGTGTCTCAGAGCAGCTCGTAATCGCCTTCCCTTCTTCTTCCCACAACAGACACCCTGTGAGGTAGGTGGGGCTGAGAGAGCTCTGAGAGAACAGTGACTGACCCAAGGTCACCCAGCTGACTTCATGTGAAGGAGTGGGGAATCAAACCCTGTTCTCTCCAGATTAGAGCCCACCGCTCCTAACCACTGCACCAAGCTGCTGCCAATCAGAGTAGACATTAGTGACCTTGATGGACCAGAACAAAAATACAGTACGCAACGCTCCCTCTAAGCTGTGGAGTCTTTTGAGCAAAAATTCTACTTTGTGAGCGACTGGCATTAAAGTTGCGAGCGAGCGATTAATAAGTCTGCTCTGGAGCCATCTCTTCCTGAGCTAAGACAAAAAATGTGTGAGCCGGAGGCTAACAAACTGTGAGCTAGCTCACGCTAACTCAGCTGAGAGGGAACACTACCACTATGTGACATTTTGCTGTCTTTCAATGACACCCTGGAAGCATGGTCCACGTCGACTGCAAAGTCAGAGTCTCCAAGTGGGCTTGAGAGAGACTTGGGTTCAAACGTCGGTTTGGCTGTGAGTCTCACTGAGTGGGCTCACTACCGGCTCTTAACCTACCCTGCCTTGCAGGGACGTCGCAAGGGCAAAGAGGGATAACCTGGCTGTAAGCTGCCCTGACTCCTTGAATGCTGGGTGATGGCCAGATTGAAGGATGAAGCGGAGGGGGTTTTGCGGAGGAGGGTCTCTCAGGGGGAGGGCCTGGGCGGGGTGGCTGCCCCCAGCTGGGGTCTCACCATGGCAGAGACAACACGAGAGACCATGATGGGGTCCCCACGGCTCGTATGTGGCATCCCTCGCCGGTCCAGCATATAGAGGCAGGCGTCCAGGACTCCCTTGTCAAACTGCGGGGAGAAGAGAAAGGCGATCATGGGGGTGGGCGGGTGGAAGGGAAACTCTCCAGGGCATCATTATGCACACACACCCCAACACACACAAACACCCCAACACACACACACACACACACACACACACACACACACACACACACACTGCAGGCACTGGGGGATTTCTGAAGCCAAACTTGTTTAAACTGGGCCCATACCTGGGTAGCCCCTGGAATTACTTTCTGAATATCTGGGATCTCTGCGGCTCTTTTAACTCCAGGCGACAACAGCGCCACCGAGTGGCAGATGCAGAAACAACCACACAGCGCCCTGCAAGGTGCTTCGGTGCAGTTCCATGACTCCTGCTTGCTGCTGCTTTGAAAGACGCTAGACCAGGGGTTCCCCCCGCCCCGACCTTTCCGAGTCTGCGGGCACCTTTGGAATCTGCACACGAGGTGGTGGATGCAACCACAAAATGGCTGCCCCAAGGGGCAGAGCCGGCCACAAAATGTCCGGGAGTGAGGTCAAGTGTTAGGGTTGCCAGCCTCCAGTTGGGGCCTGGAGATCTCCCGCTTTTACAACTGATCTCCAGCTGACAGAGATCAGCTCCCCTGGAGAAAATGGCTGCTTTGCAGGGTGGGCTCTATGGCACTGGACCATGCTGAGGCCCCTCCCCTCCCCAAACCCCGCCCTCTCCTGGATCCACCCCCAAAGTCTCCAGGTATTCTTCAACCCAGACCTGGCAACCCCATCACGCATCCTTGTGACGTGGGGGCAGCTGCTGCTGCTGAAGCTACTTTCTGAATATCTGGGCGGCCAACAAGATCTCCAGTGACCAATCGGAAGCCCTGCTGGGCAAAACCCCCACCTGGTCCCACCCACTTTCTAAAAATGCTTTGGGGCACCCAGAAAGGTGTACTGGCAGGCACTGGGGGGGCCCACGGGCACCAGGTTGGGGACCCCTGAGCCAGGGGGAGGGAGCCCCACAGATTGAATAGAAGAAGAAGAGGAGATTGGATTTATACCCCGCCCTTCACTCGGAGTCTCAGAGCGGCTTACAAACTCCTCTCCCTTCCCCTCCCCACAACAGACACCCTGTGAGGGAGGCGGGGCTGAGAGAGCTCTGACAGAAACTGCTCTTTCAGGAACAGCTGTGCCAGAGCTTGTGACTGACCCAAGGTCACACCAGCAGGTGCAAGTGGAGGAGTGGGGAATCAAACCCGGTTCTCCCAGATTAGAGTCCGCACACTTAACCACTACACCAAACTGGCTCAGAAGAGGGAGAGAGACATCATTCGGGGGCCTGGATGGAGCTCTTTGTGAGCAGGGCCGTATGGGATGGGAAGCCAAAGACCTGGTTTCCCCAAACGGGGCCTCTCATACGCGGCAGTTGTCGGCTGGCTAATATCCTGGGGGGCTAACCAAGGGGAATGCTGTCCTCAGCCCCCTCCGACGAGTTGCCGCTCGTGCAGCTCGATCCGGCTCCGCTGAAGGCTCCAGGGGGACCCACCTGCCCGTAATTCCACGTCCGCTCCCCGATCTGCGACTCGGTCCCGTAGTAGATGCGCCCGACTTCATTCAGCACGTACTCGTCCAGAGTTCCGGTCTGTGGCATGTAAACCGGGTCCTCTGCGGAGCAGAGAAAGAGCAGGGAGGGTGAGTTTCTGCGGGGGGGCCCCGGATAGTCTACCACTTCAAAACAGAAAGCACATTTGCAGCCAGAAACAGAGAGTAGAGGGAAGGCAAGAAAGCCGCCAGGTGTGAGAAGAAACTTGTCCAAGGGTGTCTTCCCAGGGACAGAGTCGCAGGGCTTTTATCTGCTGGCGAACAAGCAGGTGTCGGGCGGACCCAGCCTCCCCTTGTTGATTAATCTAAGGTTTCTGGTTTTGAACATTCACGATCTTCCCCCAAGGAGTCCAGCGATTGTGTCCTGGCCCACACTTAACCTTCACAACGATCTTGAAGGGTAGGTATGCTCAAAGAGAGAGAGAGAGAGAGAAGCAGGCTGGCTCAGCGATCGTTTGAACCTGGGTGTCTCCACTCTAAGTCCCACCTTCTTGCCTCTATACCACACTGGCTCAAAGCACCTTTAAGCCAGGTAAAAAGCTTCACCTTTAGCATTTCTGCCTGTCATGCAGGTGTTACAAACCACAAGAACCAAGCTGGGGGGGAGAGATTGGATTTATACCCTGCCCTTCACTCGGAGTCTCAGAGTGGCTTACAAACTCTTTTCCCTTCCCCTCCCCACAGCAGACACCCTGTGAAGTAGGCGGGGCTGAGAGAGCTCTGAGAGAACTGCCCTTGAGAGAACAGCTCTGACAGAACAATGGCTTGCCCAAGGTCACCCAGCAGCTGCAGGTGGAGGAGTGGGGAATCAAACCCGGTCCTCCCAGATTAGAGTCCACGCACTTAACCACGACCCCAAACGCGAAACCCTTTGCAAAAGCAAGTGCACGAGAAATTATAAAAAGGACAGAATTATTATTATTAACAAATTGTTTTTTGGGAAAACTCCACCTGTGAATCTCTCTACCTGTGATGAACTTTACCGGTGAATTTCTGCCTGTCCATTTCTTGTGTCGTGGGAAGATCTGTTCTGAGTACTATATATGTCATAGCTATATCATTTCTTAAATCGTTGATTTTTGGTGTTTACATTTGGGCACATGCATATTTTTTTTCTTGTTTACACCATCTGGAGACTGGCAGCCCTTTCCATGCGTCTATAGGTAAAGGCAGGGCTTTTTTTGTAGAAAAAGCCCAACAGGAATTCATTAGCATAATAAGCCACACCCAACAGCAGAAACTCATTAGCAAATTAGGCCACACCCTGTCAGTACAGCTCATTAGCCTATTAGTCCACACCCCCATGCCTTCCCTTGGCTTGCCTGGGTGCCCTGCAGCTGCGGAGAGCCCGGGCAAGCCGGCCCTTGGACAGGCCGGGGAAGGCACGGGGAGGCATTTAAATGCCTCCCCAATCCTTCCAGGCCCCCCTGGCCTGCCCACCTTAGAGTCGCCGGGGGGGTCGCTCTCCAGGCTTTCCTTCTATAGCCATGTACACAGAGGCTTTGGCTGTAGTGGGCGTGGCCAACTCTGACGCTAGCCGGAACTCCGTTCCTGTGCGTTCCTGCCCCAAAATAGCCCTGGGTAAAGGTAAAGGTTTCCTTTGCTCGAAAGCCAGTCGAATTCGATTCTAGGGGTGCGGTGCTCATCTCCATTTCCAAGCCGAAGAGTCAGCGCTGTCCAAATAAATTTCTGAGGTGCACAGAACGCTGTTCCCTTCCCACCGAAGTGGTACCTATTTATCTACTTGCAATCTCTTGCTTTCGAACTGCTAGGTTGGCAGGAGCTGGGGAGCTCCCTCCCGTCAGGTGGCACTCAGGTCTCGAACTGCTGAACTACTGACCTTCCGGTCTGCAGTTCAACGGGCGTCTGCTGAAGTGGTTTTGAGCAAACACTCTTCAAAGCGCCACAGGAAAATTCCTGCCCGTTTCTGCCTCAACTGTTCTCAAACGGCTCCCCTCCCAGAGAGCCCTTGACAGTCTTGGCGAGGACGCAGGCAACACATTTGTTCTCTTTCTCTCACACACAGCGCTCCACGCCTGTTTGCCTTTTCCAGCGCTCTCTGGTGCCAGGGGAGTTGTTTACTTTGGTTCTCTCTCCAACACATTGGGTGGGAGATAACACATTTCCCTTCCCCACCCGGGGACCTGCCTTTTCCTGCCCCTCAGAGGTCAGGGAGAAAACAGGGATGGGGTTGTGGGACCCAGATAAGACAGTGCGGGTGGGGGGTCTCGGGGCCTGGAACACCCTGCCCCGCCTCACTGCCGACCCCATTCCAGAAGCTACAGAGCTGGGGAAAGTTCATCCCACCTCACACCCAGAGCACAAACAGAAGTAGCCGCAGGCTTCCATTCCCATCTGGTGGCGATTTGTTGCTTCTGGGGTGGAGAGTCCAGGGGTGTCGAACTCATTTGTTACGAGGGCTGGATCTGACATAAATGAGGCCTTGTTGGGCCGGGCCATGCGTGTCATAAAAGGTAATGCCAGGTAGTGGAGATATAAACAAGACACAGACAAACACAATTAAAGATTTTTTAACTTTAGATAACACATTTCCAGTGATTTCGACACCCCGACAGCAGCCAAGTTTGGAATAATTTTCTTCCGGGGTTTTTCCCAAGCTAACGTCAGTGGCATATTGGGGGTGTTGAGCAGCCCCAGAGAGAGCTGCGGGGTCTGTTTGGCCCAGACTTGTGCCGTGGCAAGAATGCCAATGGGTGTCGGCTTGCCCAGAACCGCAGGCACTGCTGGGTTCAGCTGGCTCCCGGCCCCCAGCAGGCCTCACTTATGGGGACATTCCCAGCAAATGAAAGGTCTAGTCCGGGGGTGGCCAAATTGTGGCTCAGGAGTCACATGCGGCTCTTTCACACATATTGTGCGGCTCCCGGTAGGGCAGCTGTGGAAGTGAAGGGGAGACATCTATTTGCTTTCTCTGTTTCTCTCTCTCTCTTTCTTTCCACCTCTCTCTTTCTCTCTCTCTCTTAGACAAATAAATATCATTAGCAAACAAATAAATATCATTATCAATATCTGTTTTTACCCCTTTCATTTCTGGCAGTCTCCTTTAATGTTAATAAAAAAAGCAAATGTGCATATTTTAAAATAAAAACGTGCGTATAATATTTGTTCATGTTTTGCGGCTCTCAAACATCTGACATTCATTCTATGTGTCTCTTACACAGAGCAAGTTTGGCCACCCCTGGTCTAGTCTGTCCCTAGTTAACCTCTGGCTCTGATATAAATGTCCTAGTTGGCTCTGATATAAATGTCCTAGTTGCTGTTTTGATTATGCCGCATCTAATCTCAGCCGTACGAGAGCGCCACGGGACCTTAAACAGGACCAGGGCCAGAGCGACAGTCACTGGTTATCCTCTTTCTGCAGGCTGCTATCTGTGTCCTTTTAAAGTCTTTCAGATATGGCCCAGCCGAAGCCAAGCATCGCCATTATCAGTGGAAGAGTTCGGCGCACGAAATCTTTCCTGTTGATTTGGGTGGGATTTTCGAGCGCTTCGCTTCGGCTGGACTGTTCAAAGACGAAGACACTCAAAACGCTAATCAGGTCCGGTTTATCATAACAGGGAGCCCCAGCCAATTCCCATCTGCTGCGGTTCGGTTTCTCATGAGAAATTAGAGGCGATAACCAGAAAGGGAAGACTCCCTCGACAGGACGTTTCATGCTTGTTATGAGAACAGCTTGCAGAACTGGAATCAACCGAACAGAATCAAGAATGGGAAATGGAGTTAAGAATGGAACACAGGCCTACAGAGTGACAGTGGGCCCATTGCAATTGCCAGCTCCAGGTTGGGAAATCGGAGAAGATTTGGGGGTGGAGACTGGGGAGGGTGGGATTTGGGGATGGCAAAGCAGCCACTTTTCCCCATGGGAACTAATCTCTAGTGTCTGGAGATCTCTTGCAAGTCCGGCAGAAATCCAGGCTCCACCTGAAAGCTAGAAGAAATAGAACTACTGCAAGTATGCAATTAATGGTTGTAATAATACTAGTCTTCCAAGTGAGTACAAAATTACAAAATATACAGTAACAACAACATTTTGTATTCCAGATAATATATAGATGGACGGAATTCCCCGGAGTTGGTGTTCTGTTTCAGCTGATGAGCCCGCATTTACACTTTGGTCTGTTATACAACAGGAATGAACACTACAAACATTTAGGATTGATGAAGAATCCATTTGGAATATTTGTGACTGTGCGAGGGCACGCGTGCCTTTATGAATTCTGATGTGCGAGGAAGTCATCACGAAACGGAACACCAACTTCGGGGAATTCCGTCCATCTATATATTATCTGGAATACAAAATGTTGTTGTTACTGTATATTTTGTAGCCTTTGACCATGGAAACGTCTTCAGACAGCGCTGGCTCTTCGGCTTTGAAACGGAGATGAGCACCGCAACCCTAGAGTCGGATTCGACTGGCTTTCGAGCAAGGGAACCTTTACCTTTTTACTCACTTGGAAGACTAGTATTATTACAACCATTAATTGCATACTTGCAGTAGTTCTATTTCTTCTAGCTTATTTGTACTGCAACCCCCTACCTGCTTGTCCACCTGAAAGTTGGCAGCACCCTAGCCACTGGGGGGGGTGGGGTGGGTATTCCACGATAAAGGAGTTCACTGCGCACATGCTCAGGAACACTCTTGTCTTTTTTTGTTGTTGTTCAGTCGCACAGTTGAGTCCGACTCTTCGCGACCCCATGGACCACATCATGCCAGGCCCTCCTGTCTTCCGCCGTCCTCCGGAGTTTGCTCAATTACTCTTCTCTTTACTTCCTCATATTGTCAGGTTTGCCCCCCTGGCATTCAAAACAACCTCATGCTTTGAGCTTTGATGAGACCGGAGATAGATTTTGTAAGAATGATAGTTTAAAAGAGGGATTGCTGCAACTAATAAGTTTTACAAAATTTATTTATTTACTTATTCATTCGATTTATACGCAGGCTCCTGAAACCCTCCAAGGAAGATCTGTTTGCAGCCAATGAACAGAAGATGCCACAGAGAACAAAACATTCCACAAACTGCTTTAAACTTTTCAAGCTGAAAATGGAGTCCAAGAGATGCTGCCAATTTCAGTTGCCAGGACTCGGACGGGTTAATCAGCCACCTAATTTTTTGTCGATTAGTCTGTCTGCTCTATACGGATTTAAGGATTGCCCTCTCCAGTACGGATCTGCCCAGATGCCTTGATTGGCTAGTAAATGTACGGCTTTGGGTCATAGCCCTCTTACGAGCAGCATCATAAAACAGGGTCTTTTTGGCAGTAGCACCAAAGAGTGTGGAATGCCCTCCCACTGGAAGTGTTCCGTACCCTCCCTGACAGGGTTTAGAAAAGCATTGAAAACACCGCTCATTCGCCTAGTTCCCTGCATTTTTGACAGTTCTCTGACTTCTTATGAGTTTTAACTTTACCTGCCAAATATTTTTATTTATTAGGGGAATTTCTAGACCACCTCTCCAGAATACCTGCTTGAGGTAGTTTGGTAAGAAATCATTTATTTGTTTTATGGTGCTGTACCGGATTCGACTGGCTTTCGAGCAAGGGAACCTTTACCTTTACCGAGTTTTAATTATTAAAAAACAAACCTGCACAAGTAAAATCAGCCATTCTGAAGAAAAGACCCTCCTCAGAAGATAAGAGCATTCATCATTTGAGAACTGGCATTCCTTTAGGGGTGAAAGAGGAGGGACAATGCATCTAAGATAAATAGGGATGGGCATGCACCAGCTGGCAAACTGAAGTTCATCACAAATTTTGGCCAGTTCGTGGTTCATGGAGCGATGTTTGAGAACCGAAGAGCCGCCACAATCCTCCACGAATGTTGATGCAGTCCGTGGAGGTTTGTGGCTGTTCGTGATGAGCATGAAAAACAGCTGAGCAGTGGGGAGCTCCCCTGAGCAGTCCTGCCGCTCAGCTGTTTGGAAACCCCTGCTTTCTGCTCCCTGCGGTTTTTCACGGGGGAGCGAAAAGCGGGGTTTAAATGGCAAATCCCTGCTTTCTGCTCCCCGTGAAAAGCCAAAGGGAGCAGAAAGCAAGGTTTAAATGGCTCAGAGCCCTTTATCTAACTAGGCAATACATTTAAGCACAGCACCTAGGGTAGCCAGCCCCCAGACGGGCCCTGGAGGTCTCCCAGAATTACAACAGATAGGCTACAGAGATCACTTCCCCTGGAGAAAATGACTGCTTTGGAGGGTGCACTGTATGGGATTATACCACACTGAGGTCCCAAATCCTGCTAGGTTCTACCCCTACATCTCCAGGCACTTCTGAAGCCGCGGTTGGCAATGACAACAGCATCCCTAGCAGCTGCGTCCGTTCTATCCTCCCTGGCAATGCCGGGTTCCCCTTCCCAAACACTTACCAGAACACCAGGGGTTGAAGATGACATAAGTCTCATAGCGGGGGTCGAAGGGCGCCTGATACTCGCCCGCCTTGCTTCGGGTCTTGACGCTGAACTTGTATTTGCCGATCACAGCCGTGGGCGAACTGGTGACCCGGAGGAGCATGGTGTTTTTTTCCCAATCGACCAACTCCGCTCCCCAGCTCTTGTCTGACAGTCGGGTGCCCAACGGGATCAGGACGTGTGTCCCCTTGGAGGTCTGTGGCGAAGGCCCTGTCAGAGAGATGCGAGAAGTTAGGGTCTGGGGCAAGAAGCAACGACATCGCCGGGAGAGAAGTTGCTTTCTCCGCTCCCCCGTGTCCATCTATAGACATGCACACTTCCTATCTGGTAGTGGCTTCTCTCCAACTAGAGTTCTTTTCTAGGATTCCAACTGGATCCAAACAACAGAAGTATAGTGTCCCGATCACGTGAAGTGATGGTATCGCTTTACTCTGCTCTGGTTAGACCTCACCTAGAGTATTGTGTTCAGTTTTGGGCACCAGAATTTAAGAAGGATCTAGACAAGCTGGAACGAATCCAGAAGAGGGCAACAAAGATGGTGAGGGGTCTGGAGACCAAGTCCTATGAGGAAAGGTTGAAGGAGCTGGGTATGTTTAGCCTGGAGAGGAGACGACTGAGAGGTGATATGATCATCATCTTCAAGAACTTGAAGGGCTGTCAGAGAGAGGATGGGGCAGCGTTGTTTTCTTTTGCCCCAGAAGGCCGGACCAGAACCAACGGGTTGAAATTAAATCAGGAGAGTTTTTGGCTCAACATTAGGAAGA